TCAGAGCAGAGAAATGTAGTTAAAGGAAGGAAAGAAAAGATCAGTCAGTCAGSAGAGCTGGTGTGTCCCAGATTGACATTTGCATTGAAATGGTCAGGTACTTTAGATTGATCCTTTTTTTTAATTGTAAAATTTTAGAGATTATATTTTCTGGTCCATTTTCTGACTGCAAGATCCAGAAACCTATCTTTCTTTTGAAGGTCTAAAATTCTTATAGTTGAATATAACTTTAGGAACTGAGTTTTTGAGGACAGTATCAGTAGTCTGGAGGCTGATAATAGAATCAAAAAGAATAAGTACCCTGGCTGCAAAACTGATGTGGGTATTTTTGTTAGTTGTCACTCCTGCTGTTTTGCCAAAAGCTGAAATCCTTTTCAGTATGCAGAAGGAATGGGTGCTGTACATAATGCCAGAACACTATATCCTATCTCTGCAAAAAGTTTTGTTCTTTTGTCTGAATGTGATTAATTTAAACTGTTGTGGTAATTTAGATTACTTGGAAAGCCAGGAGTCAGAAATCTGAAATAAGCCTAAAGAAGTGGTTTACAGGAAAATGGTTTGAGATGTGTTTTCCGTCTGAAGTAAATACCTGCTGTGCTATATAGGTTGTGATTTTGCAAGAGAGAACAAGAAACATATGAAAGAAAAATAATTTCCTCTCCTTGTTGGAAGTCAGCCATGGTGGTTGCAGCTTGGTCAAAATTAGCTTATAGGAAAAATGCATTTTTTATTTAAAGGGGAACTTTCTGAGTTAATGACACATGCCGGCGAACACTGCATCCCAATTGCTTCGAAATTTGAGAATAATTCGTCTGTATATGCTTTTTTTAGGAAGCACCACGAGGTGGCACTCTCTGCATTACCGAATCGATCCCCCAAAGCCATCTGTTTTTGAAGTCTCTTTTTCATGAAACTGAGTTTATAAATAACAATGATACAATCCTATACTAAAATAGGATACGCATATGTACATGTATATGAATTACATAATTAAATATGCATTACAGCTAAAAATATCTGTTAAAAGAATCACGGCCATCACGGCGAAGTTGAAAGTCAGAAAAGCCAGAGTTAAGATTTTCTGTGCAATCTGCATCCCACTTCCTYGGGCAGATGATAACCACCTTCAGTGATGTGGTCGCATAGATTTTTCCACAGGATTCTTGCTGTCTTAGGCATAGATCAGAAGTCTAAATTGGGTCCCCAGTAAAAATAAACAGCCTATTTGATTTCCATCTTCCTAGTACTTGTTTAGAACAATGCATGCCAGTGAAATTTTGCTCTAAATTTAGAGCTGCATTTTAATTTTTTTTAATTTTTATTTTTATGTGTGTTTTGCGTGTTACTCATCAATATATTTATACAGAACTAAGAAGCCTTAACTGGATTTATTCCCTTCTGAGTGGGCATCTTTTTCCCATTTTACAGTTTTGTAAACAAGGCATCAGATTAAAATTGGATTTATTTGTACCAATTTGGCATGTATTYTAGTCATTTGCATCAGAAAGATTTCAGCATGTCTGTAAATTACATTCTGTAAATTATTTCAACCCGGCTACTTAGAGAATTAGATGTAGGTAATTAATGACCACCTATGAAAAAAATTGTAATGAAGTGTCTGACTTGGTTTCCTGWAGGACATCTAAGGCAGAGACAGAATGAAATTCTTCTGGACAGCATTTTGCTGTTAAAACAGAAAACCTTCATCCCACACTCCTCCTCACCTCAGAACATCGGTGGTAAATGAGACACAAATATAGCAGATATGTTCCTCCTTATGACATCTTGCTAGCACCCAAATACCGCAGTGGAGGCTGGATTTTTTTCAGTCTGCTACCACTTGAACTAGAGAGCTTCTGATTGCTGTAGTAGGTACTTTATAAAGCACAGTGGGGGAGCTAGAGGTGAACTCTGCTGGTGGGGCTGGTAGCTAATGAGATCAGAAAATACTGGATTGCACTCCATGATTTCCTAGGAAATTGCTTTTCTGTCCTGATTCTGATCTTGTATTGCTGTGTCCTTTTTAGCTTTTCGCTGAACTACTCCTAACTTTCTACACCACTGCTTCTARCACTTTCTATTTTCTTAAGCCAGTCCCAATTTTTTCATTTATCACCTTTTCTTAGATTCTGGGTTCACCTCCTCCAAACTCCCTCACTCCATTTTAATGCCCCCTATGTCTGGGTTCCCTGTCCCAGTGTACTCTAGATTTCCCAATCTTGGTTTTTCTTTCCCTCTCAGGCCACAACTGCTTTCTATTTTTTTAAGTGCAGAAGAACAAAGGAGAAGATTTCTTGCCTTKGAGCCTTGACATATCTTAATTTTATTTTTCTAATCTATTGGAGTAAAGAAGCAGGACTTTTTTTTTTTAAGTAACTTTCCTAATTTTAAGAAAATACACTTCTGGTTTGGAAAAATCATAAATTTTCATTTGATAACACTGAAACTGAAACTCTAAGCCTATAATAATCACCGTAGTGGAAGTGAGAAAGCTTGTCTAAACAAATTTCCCCATGTATTAGTTCAGTTTCTGGAAACTGGCATTTAGTAGTTTAACTAAAATAATGTTATTTCTGGTAAAGAACTGTTTCAGGATTTGAAAACATTTGCATTAGTCTTGACACTTGAATTTCTAGATAGTCAGAAATTTGTGACTGCCTTCAGCTGCTTTTAAGTTTGATCAGCTGTGTCTGTTTGAAGTTTTCCATTATATGGCCTTTGTATAATTGTCTTTAAATTTAGATCCACTGCTAAAATCTAGAATAAGTGAAAAAGATGAACTGGTTTGTGTAATATTTTTTCTCTGTATTTGAAGTAGATAGTTGAAAACACTTTTTCTAATAACAACTGTGCTTACTTGCTGTCTTTGAATAAAACTTGATCACATTTGGACAAAATATAAACTGAAAACCTGCAGTATTTGCATGATCATAAGAGGYGAGTTAGGAATATATCAGTGTTTGCAGAGGCTCTAGGCAAGAAAATGACCATCAGCTCATTTAATCTGACYCTCTATACACTACAAGCCAGGATGTGTCATCAACCCCTGCGGAGTACCTGTGCCACATGAGATGTCGCCAGGTGAAGTCACCCCAGAGACAAGGCTCTCCCATCTCCTGGCCACCATCTGCAAGCTGCCCGTGTGCACCCCTTCCCCTACATCCCTCTGACAACCATTGTTGAGGCAAACTAAGATTAAAATGGCTCCTCACATCCACTGTGGGTCCTACCCATGGAATGTAGTCCTCCATGAAGTGTTCCAGCGTGGGGGTCCCCACAGGCTTTCAGAAGAACCTGCTTCAGTGTATTCTCTCCASGAGCTGAGGTTCCTTCAGGAAATATCCACCTGCTCTAGCACAGGAGTCCTCCATGTAGTTGTCTGCTCCACTGCGGTCTTCTCTATGGGTGCTAGAGAATTTCCACTCTGGCACCTGGAAAACCTCCTCCCTCTTTTCAGTCCTTGGTGTTCCCAGGAGTTTGAGCTGAATTGTTTTACCTTTTGTTTTTTACTTGTGGGTAGCATTATGTCCTTTCTTACACGTTTTCCCCCTGGCACAACCATCTTGGCTGAGGGGCTCAGCCGTGCCCTGTGGTGGGTGGGTTGGAGCCATTTGGAGTGGGCCATATCAGGCACGGGATAACCTCGGCTTCTCACSCAGGCTGCCCTGCAGCCACCCCACAGCCAGCACCGTGCTGCGAAAACCCAATGCAAAACTGCAGAAAATTTTGTGAGAGAAGAARTAATGGCCCATATGTAGCAGAATTTGAATAGTGGTTGTACAGTGAATGATAGGAAAACAATTAAAAGCTTAGTATTTCTTTCATTCCTGTTGTTGACTAAATGGACCAAAGCCCGTATAGAGAAGATCCTTCCATATGTGACCAAGTAGTTTAAACTACCTTAATGAAAAATTATGGATGGCCAAAATAAGATTGGCTGGAAGTGTTTTGATTCTGATGTTGCCCAGCGTGTCTTTACAACATASTGTTTTATTTCATCTGTCTGTATGGGTTCTGTGTCTGCACTGGTGCCTAGCACACTTACTAAAGCATTTAAATATGCTGTAGTAGTCTGACAGTAGTATTTGGTACACTGAATAGCTTGGATATTTTGAGAGGTTAAAGTCTGTCACAATGTGGTAAATAGCCCAAGTGGTAGGTTGATGATTTAAATATATGGAGGGCTTTTTACCTGTTGCATTTTTCTGTGTTTCCCTCCTGCTGTGCTCTTAAAAGAAGAGGACTAGTGTTAGGCATCAGGAGAGAACAATGGAACAAATATCAGCAATTTTGTGAATGTTCTCACTTCTCTCACTGCTCTATTTATATTAATCTATGTTTACCAAGTGTTTTCAGGAAGCACACTTGGAAAAGTTGTTTCAGATGTGTCTTGAGTTGTTTGCCAGATGGTCTGCTGGATCCAATAGATCAATGTTGTCTTTAAGGGAGACACCTGGTCTTCACAAACAGGAAAGTCTGTGAAGCACAGGAAAAAGCACAGAGCTTGTGCCCATGGCCCTTTAGCAGCCAGTCTTTTCTGTCAGTTTTTGGCAACTGCTATACTCATGCCTCTCCACCGAGCCTCTTCACCAAGATTCTATATATTCTTTCTTATGCAAACTACTGAACAATGATCAGATAGGATTTAGTTCTTCTATTAGTCTGGAAACTGGAAAGCGAAGAGCTCCATATAACCTTTTGCTGATCCCTAATGTTCCTCCTTCCTCCTGTTCTTCAGGCACAATGGTTGGTGATCATACCCGCTTGGAGTTCCACAACATTGAGACAGGGATCATGACAGAGAAACGGTACATCTCTGTCATCCCCTCCAGCTTCATCGGCCATCTCCAGAGCCTCATGTTCAACGGGATGCTCTACATTGACCTGTGCAAAAATGGTGACATTGACTATTGCGAGCTGAAGGCGCGCTTTGGTCTCCGCAACATTATAGCTGACCCTGTGACATTCAAGACTAAGAGCAGCTACTTGAGCTTGGCCACCTTGCAGGCTTACACATCCATGCACCTCTTCTTTCAGTTCAAGACCACCTCAGCTGATGGTTTCATCCTCTTTAACAGTGGTGATGGCAATGACTTTATTGCAGTTGAACTGGTCAAGGGGTAAGTGACTTTCTGTTGTGTTCTACTAGCTTATTTATAGGTAAACTTATAGGTGAGCTTAAAATGCTTGCATGAAGAGAAATTTACTTCATAGTCATGTTTTCTCTGCTGAGCTGTGAGACAAAGCATTTAAACATAAATACTGAAGCTTAACATTCCTGATTTTATCACTGATTTCCTCCTGTGACTGTGGGAAGGATATATTTATAGTATTTTAAGTCGTTTGGACATAGCTAGACTAATGTTTGGTCCTGTCAACTTTGCAGATTAGCACAGAGGAGGAGGAAATGTACCGAGGGCTCTGTATCTCCTTCCCTGATCATTCCCTRCTCTTGCCCTCCTTTTTTTATCCCCATTGTAATGCTTGCTTTTCTGCCATCTCCAGTGAAGGAAAAAGTGTATGGGCTGCTGAATATGTACTTTTGCTGGTGATGCTTGACGAAAAGCAAACTCAGCTTGCTTTTGAGCTGCTATGTTCCTTTCAAAAGACCAATAGMTTATTAAAAAAAAATCCTTTGTTAGCTGAACAAATTTTAATCTCTTATGATTTAGTCATGGTAGACATGTTTTCCACAGTTTACTAGTTCTGTTTATTTCAGTTCAATCTGTTTTCACTTTTTGCTTTGCACATACTTCTGCAAGTGGGACATTGAGCAATAAAAAAAACAACAGTCACGAGCTCCTGGTGCTCTATTGAGAGTTGAATTTTGTTGCCTTTTATTTTTTTTCTTTACTGAGTTGAATACTTCTATCCTCAGGTGGATTTTTGTGTTTGAATTATGTGAATAATTCAGAGTAATGCTCCCATGACTTCAGTCTTTGTTAGGGTCTTTATTTTTTGCCAAAAGCATTGCTAATTGTTTTCCAGCTGTTTGAATGAGCCTAGAATCTCATGTGAATTTTAATACCATGTTTCAAGGGAGTTTCACAATTAACTTCTTCTGGGAGTTATTCAAAACTAAGAACGAAGCTGGGGAATACATGCACCAAATAAGCATATCTGGTGTTGCTTCTGGATACATTTATCAATATTACCAATTTTTAAAAATAATTATATGTGCAGATTGTTTTTGTGGATCCGTGGGAACTTTGTGAAAAAGAGGAATGTTTTRTGGTTAGAATTTGATTACTTCAAATGTTGTCGACTCAAAATATTAATCCTACACTTTGGTGGAAAGGAAACAACTATGTTCTTTCAAAGCCGTGGCTAATATTTTGGCTTATTAGAGGTTTCTAACCCAGAGTTATTTGCCTTCTTGACTTTTTAAAGTTAATTTATCAGCTCTGTCTAGAATGAGAGTCAGTAATGCTGGGTTTCTTCCAGATTTTTAACTACTTCCTGCTGTGTTTACAGGTATATACACTATGTGTTTGACCTTGGAAATGGACCTAATGTTATCAAAGGCAACAGTGATCGTCCTCTCAATGATAACCAATGGCACAATGTTGTCATTACCAGAGATAACAGTAACACACACAGCCTAAAAGTTGACACTAAGGTGGTAACTCAGGTCATCAATGGTGCCAAAAATCTGGATCTGAAAGGTAAACTCTATAAGCTGGACAGTTTTYCCTTTTATTCTGTCTGGGCTCAACTAGTCAACAAGAGAAAGCTTACTGTAACCAATCATTACAGAACAATAAATCTGGACTTGACACATTTTGGCTTTCTGATTCATTTGACAATTTCTTGGAGTGGAATAATTTGTCATATATTGTTTTTTTCAGAAATTGTCATTTTGTGGTTTTTCCAACTTAGGGAGAAATTAGAACTGGGATTATTTGGAAAGTTTCATGAGGGGTTTTTGTTTGTGTGGGTTTTCTGGTTTTGTTGGGGTGTTTTGCTTTGGGTTTGGTTTCTTCTTTTTTGTGGTTTTTTTTTAATTTTGTTTTGGTTGGTTGTTTTGTTTTGGGGTTTGCTTTGGTTTTTTGTAGAAAAGGGAGCAGAAATTACCTCTTGCACAATAAGTTGCTCTGGTTTTAACTTTTTCTGAACATGTGTTCACTTTGCTTTATTCACATTTGGTGGCAAGAAAAATTACTCTCAAAGGTGYGTAATTTTCTTCTTGTATGTTTACCCCTCTCTCCTCTAGGTGATCTCTACATTGCTGGCCTAGCTCAAGGCATGTATAGCAACCTCCCAAAGCTTGTGGCTTCACGTGATGGATTTCAGGGCTGTCTGGCATCTGTGGACTTGAATGGGCGTCTGCCTGACCTTATCAACGATGCTCTGCACCGCAGTGGGCAGATTGAGCGTGGATGTGAAGGTATAAATGATTTCAGAGAAGTTCTACTTTCAGAACTCACTTCTTACTTCATTATTGCACTCTGWGCATCTGCTTGTTTTATCTCAATGTCCATTTCAGTAGACTGCTTCCATTATTACACTTGTCTCCCAAATGCAGCTTAAGGATTGATAGTTTCTGTGAGTGGCTTAGCAGCTCTCTTCTTATATTCCCCTTCAGGAATGGGAAAGGATGGTTCTGGGATGGACTATTACTTACTAGTAGTGTTCTCAGAGTGGTTTATTAGCATTACAGTAGTCTTAAAATACTTGGGAAGATGTTCTGAGCATTCAGTTAGTTTGATATTCAGAGCACCCTTTCTTGGGATCCACAGAAGTGTTTTGAAAAAGTGAGAGAGTCAGGGAAAATGGAAGATACAAGGACCTGAGGGGTAGAGACTGGACCAAAAAAGGAGTTTATTTTTGATGAGGTAGGCCTCCAGTGAAAGCATTGGAGGCATTGCCTCTTYTATCTGGAAAACATTTATCTTCAGTAGTTTTTCTTTTCCAGCCATTTTGGAACTAAACGGGATAAGTTACTTTTTGAAGTAAGTAAATGGTGGTGATTTCTTGAAGCCTCTTTAGATAATTTGCTGTTCCTGTAAGCTTCCATTAGTTAAAAGAATGTTGGCATCAGCCTAACTGACTCAGTAAAATGCATATGGCTTCAATTCCCAGAGGATTTGGGGTACTTACCATCCAAAACTCCAACGTTTTGCWGTCTAGGTTAAATGACAATCACCATTATGACTAGAATCATTCAATACCAGTCTGCTRTGTTAGCTACCAGTCACTAGAGGAAGAGAGTTTATTCTGTAAATTTGCTTTACATGTTTGCTAAGGCAAGATCTAAGTCCCAAACTGATCCTTCAAAAATTTAACCAAGTGAAATAACTCCTTGATCATTTTTCCCTACTGTATCAAGATTACAGGTTATGTCATGAGAAAGACTTGCCACTTGTCAAAACTGTTCCTTCTTARGTTTGAAAGTATCATTTTAGAGAGATCTTAGAGTACCAAATTGACCATCCAATTACATCTGGTCTCTTGCTTATGTCTCAGTGTTCTGGTTGTCTGGGAGCTTTTGTGCCCCAGCCCTCCTGCCATGCTCCCATAATAATATTCTGGTTTGTGAGAATTTCATGTCCTCTCACAAGATCTCACTCTATGTCAACTCCCATCTCACAGCACKGATAGATACCACATAGTTGTAGGCTGGTTTTTTTTCTATCTTTCTCTCTTTTTCTTTATAGTGTCTATTAACAACATTGTTCTTTGTGGAAATGAGCCCAGAGTAGCAGAGCKTATGTCTTTGCCCATTTGTGGCAGATGCCAAATGAAGTGCCCTTTTTCTGCATTGTCATTTATAAGGTTTAAGGAAGAAAACACATTTGAGGTTTTTGAAAACATCTATTTTATTTATCCTTGATGCACTGAAAGCTCTTCTTTAATATTAGTGATATTTGGTATCTCTTCCATTTAAAATTATCTTAATCAATTGGCTGTTTAGCTGGCATGTGATCTCTACTAGCCTTCCTCCTTCAGAGGATCTCCCAATTAGACTATCCTGTTGTTCTGTGCGTGGCTCAGGAACAGAGCCATGATGCTTTCCCAGAAGACTGCYGCATTATTAGAGCTGTGATGTTTCCTTCTCCTGTGCCTAGTGTAGCTCTTTGATTTAGTGTGGTATTGCTGAGGTGGTGTAATGTCAGTGCCACTTCCAAAACACATAACACAACACTTGCCTTGCCTGTGTGCCAGTGTGGTACTGGCACAGCTGTTGCCTGAATGTTGAGGTTGGTTCACTTTCCAGAATGCAAATTCCCCTTCTCTTCTAAAGTCTTTCAAAAAGAACTCCAAATTGGAAAGAGACCTAAAAAATGGGTGGTAARGTCAGTGGTGGTCCTTATTCTGCCTTTGGAGGAACTTGATCTTGGAAAGCTGTACCCATGCTAGCTTCCCAAATGGTCTTTCATCAGTACCAAGGAAACCACTGAAAAGGAATGCATTCTTTTTGCTGACGTAAAATTAGAATTAGTAAAAAACCTGTGAATTTGGTCACCATAAAGCTGTTATATTTGTTCTTGTGGTTTTTTTTTCTTACTGTTTGAATCACAGCAATCCCCAAGGCTTCATCYCAGATCTTTGTTGCTGCCTGCTGATGACTATTCTTACGGCTGTCAATGAAAGTCACACCTCTCCCACAGTCTCTAAGGAAGGAAAACTAAGCRTGTTCAGTCTTCATTTATGTTTCCCTAGTTTGTTTCTATCTGGAATRACCTTGGGTGCAGTCCTAATGTTTTTGAGTGCAGAAAAGCCAAGTGGTCCTTGCTGCCTCATGATGTTTAAATATATTTTTAATGAACTTAAAAATGAATAGTTTTACTGTGCGTTGATTTGCTGGGCATGTCTGTATTTCATCATGAAGGGCAGAGACACCACATCCATGATAAGAACATGCATGCTTAAAGAAATGTCATTCCATTCCCACGTACGAATCTAGTCTTTCAAAGGTCACGTGAGAAATTTCTGCTAATACTTGTCTTTTGTTGCGGCTTTGCTTTCAGAGRCAGAGATTAAATGGTGGCAGCTGTTTTCTCAGAAACTGTCAGTTTGATCTTAGGACAGAATYAAAGAATATGTAGAGGAAGGAAACCTTGAGTATAGTAGAATATGAGATGTAGGTCAACAGACAGCACTGTCCTGGCTAAGATGCACCTGTACCAGTACAAACGGGTGACGTTGCATCTTGTTCGTGTTTGTCATCTCTTTTCAGGTATTTCAGTACTGTGTTTTGTACCATCAATTGAGATTCACAGGTTTTAATTGAAAAATAGTATTCCTTATTGTCTTGGTTCTGCTGCCACTTCCTTTTATTTGATTTGAACAGGCCATTGAATTTCCTTGAATTTCCAYTGTTCTTCTCATGTGCTTAAGCATGATTCAGCCTCCTTGTGCACCAAAGCACGAACTTACCTCAGTATAGATTTGTCTGTGTTCCAGTGATGARTAAGGCTTCTACTTGAGCAGGAAGMACTTTCAATAAAATTTCAATATAAATAGTATYTATAGGACRTCTTTTTCTCTGGAATCCGAAGAATTCCAAAACATTGTTAGTCATATATACAAGTCACTCTTGAAATGCAGGCATTCATGAGACTGAAACTGGCTGCTGTTTAACAGTGTATAATGGTGCTAAATGAAAAGAGTTCAAGACTTAGGGCAAGAATATGTCTGATGTCCTATTGGTTCTATCYATATAATTTCTTTGAGTTATATATGGTGGAATTTGTTTAGGCTAGCACAACTAAATAAATTCCTCATCATGTTTGATAGGTGATATATCATCTCCCTTTTGCATCATGCATCTTCCATGTGTGCTGTACAAATTTACAGTTTCAGCTTTTGAAGTCTACCATTCAATCACCAGAGTGTTAGACAGGATGATAGCTAAGACAGTGACATGTTTTGTGTTTCAGTGTGTCCTGTAGTACCATTGCTTTTGGCAAAGGATTTTGAGGGGGATTATCTGGAAGAAAAGAACCCAACAATGTCTGAAATGTCAAATGAGTTTGTGGAGTTAAAGCTTCCTACCACACACAGCCTTTTTTTTTTTTGCATGGGGTAGGTTGGTTTATTTTCATTGCTCTTTTGCAATTGCTGCATTTCTGATTTTTCAGAAACAACAGGCAGCTCTTCACAGGTCTTGAAAGTCTGGTCAGATCTGTAGTAGCAGCTTGGAAGGGCTGTGGCAAAGCTAGAGACCACCTTACTCCCTGGTGTGTTCAGGTGTGCTACACACAACTGTGAGGAGGATAAAGCTTGGGGAGAATGGCATGATAACAGTGCTTTTGTTCATTTTTACAGTATCTTGATCTTTTGTGCTAACTGCAGCTTTCATCACCATCTTTGATATAACAAGAGGGCCCTTCCCCTCACCACCGCCTCAGAAAAGGCATTGGTGGGAGGGCCTGAGAGAYAAACTACCAAAGGTAGGGAAGGAATTAAGACTTAAATGGTCCTTGTGCCAGTGTTCCATCAGGGTACACTCTGAAGAGACAACATGAATTCTCAGAAAGGRCATCAAATGGGAAGGCCTCCTCTAGTGGAAGCTTGAAGGCAAGTCTGCCACCTATTTTGGGCCTTGCTTTCCCCACCCACAAAATTCATGTGCCAGGTATTCATGTGTTTATGATATAAGTATGAAATTCATTTGTGTCTTGCAAATCACTTTGAAATGGTGGGTGGAGGCTCCTAGACATGAGGAAAGCGTTAGGAACTGAAGAAAGGAAGTTTTCTATCGAGACTTAATTTTCTCTCCAGTCTCTGTCTCAACAGCCTGTGAGGGCTGGTTGGAGACTTTTTATTTCGAGTTTAAGTAATACAGACTATTTCTACATCAGACATACACAGTTTGAGAGAAAAGATGTCTGCACTGTGGTCTATGTGCAAGAATTAGTAGATGGAAGAAGTTGTACCAGGTGACTTCCTTTCCCTTCTTTAAAGTAAACAATTTAAACTTCAGCTCAGGTTATTCTCACTTCTAKACTTTTAAAATGAACTCTTCTTGATGAACTGCTCATTTCTGGTCTTGCTGCTAAATGAGTGGATCAGTTTAGTCCAGCTACAAAAATCTAGACAGAGTGATTCACTGCTTTTTTCTGACTGGTCCTCAAAAAGTTAAGCAGATGTCCAACCTTTTGTGTAGTTTAAAGAGGATGCCCTCGATATAAATGAGTACTTTCTGCCTTTGTGCCGTTTTTTTCACCGCTTTATTAATTTGCCATATGTTCTGCTGTGTTTTCCTTTCTTTAATTTGGACATCCCTATGCTGCATACCATGGGCACAAGAGCTATCTGAAATTCAGCTGCACATTCTAAATGTTTTCACCCCATGCTGTCCCAAGCCAAACAAACCTAACAGCAGTGGTTGAAGTACATTTTGTTTCTTCTGCAAGGTAGTTTTTTCTTCATGCTTGAGAG